GAACCTTCATTTAGTATTACAGTAATCGCTATTTTACAAATACTAATATTGTATTCGTTGTATATACAAATATACTAAATAAATACTAATCAATGAACTCCTTATTTTAAATTAAAATTTCTGATGTATATCAGCCGAATATCATTATTTATATTATATATTAAGACATTAAATTTATTGAAATTTTGATTTTATTTAACATTTTGTAATGTAATAGTAAAAATATTTTCAAACTGCATAGTTATTTATTACTTAGCTGCTTAAATTGTTATTAATACTAATAATTCATAAAATGTATATTATGGCAATTCATTAGTCTTCTTTAAAAATTATTCAACAACATAATAATAAAAGTACATAAATAAAATATTTTTAAAACAATAATAGTCTAATTATAAATTAAATGTAATCTATACAGGTATAATCTCTCAAGTCTGTGATAGTTTACATGGAATGGCATTTACAATTATTACTTGAGTTTTTATTGTTGCATTAAAAGATAATTACACTTGGGCTAATTGATAATAACAAAGTTCTTAAAGAATAAAATTAAAAATGATTAACTATCTAATAACATTTATAAAATAGGAAAACAATCAAGGCTCGAAATATATATCAGGGCAGGATTGACAAAAATTGGTATAGTAAGAAAAAACATATAAAATACATCCAGCTACAAAATTAAAACAAGAAAATTGTTTCAATGACACAACCAAAAATGGGAATACTAGTGATGGGCTGAACAACTCTAGTTTATAAGTCAAACTGAACTGAAATATTTTTACCAAAATATTAAAATGTATTATCTAACTTAAACTTAACTTTTTTTTTTTATTAAAAAAATAATTTATTATTATTGATATTGATTTTGAAAAATCCAAAGTGTTTGAATTTATATTTATCACAATAATTTTTATTTGTTATAGATATAAAGTGAAAATAATATATATCTTGTTTTTCAAATTGAAGTTTTAAATTCTAAATAAAATTATAATAGAATTGTTAGCACTGAAAATGGTGTTCAGTTGTATATTCAAATGGTTCGACCCATCATTAGCAAGTACACATATATATTTTAACTAAAAAAGTTACAAAATAAGAAAAATTAAACTGCATTAGCAACTTAATGGTAACATAGTCATAAATGCTAAGCTTAACAAATACAATAGTATACTATAATATAAATAATTTAAAAAAAATACACTATATCATTAAGTAATTGTAAACAATATAATGATATATGACCTGATGTTAAATACTTGAAAAATATTAATAAAATATTCTATATACAAGAGATCAACACTAAAATGCAAATAGCGGGAGAGAAAAAAGAAAAACTATAAAAAATGTATGTCACTGGTTTTGAGCATAAGTCTCAACATTCAATATAGCACAATGATCACAGTTCGCCAACATTATTGTACCTCTTTAATTTCTTTGGAAATATGTCTTTATACAAGACAGGGTCAACTCTATATTCAACAGCCTTTAATGGCATTCTACCATAAACAGTAGCAAATTTGTTTATACATGATGATCTTGTAGCCATGTGCCCTTGGTCAGCAGACAACATTTCAGTGTTTATACATTGTGGACACTTAAACTTTTTCTTAGGTGTTACCTATAATAAAGTTAAACAGCTGTTTTTCAATTTGTAGCAAAATAAATTAAACATTTTACAATTACTTTAATTGGAGCTTTGTTCGTAGTATTAGACACTAAAAAGTTCATTGCTATATCTTCGCAATTCATATGATCATCAACCCACTGTTTAATATTACTAGGCATGATATATGTATATGCATAATTCCAATACTGCATAAAAAAAATCAAAATTATATTATTTTTAATTATTTATTAATGAAAAATAGTTTTACTTTATGGTAAAACGCTGCTCCAGTCAATACCATGGATATCTCATTTTTCCATTCAGATTCATACTTCCAAGTATTTGTTTTGTTATTCCATACATGAGTTCTTGATGGATAACCAACTATATGATCAGGAAATTCTTTCCAAACCTAATTACAGCAGAATATTTAAATTTATTTTACCTAAACTTAATCAATAAACTATTTATTTACCTGAAATCCAAATTCAATTTCATCTATAGTCAGCATAAGTATATCATCATCGAGAGATAAGACGGCTTCAGTTTCGATTTCTCGATATGGAAAAAATCTATTTGATAAATTATTTGCGGTCGTCTGTACAATCTTCAACGGAATATCTGTTTTTGGCCATACTGAAACTGTGTTTAATGTAGGTTTATAGATCATTTTTTAAATATTGAAATACTTACAGTGTGGTGGAGATTTATACTGATTATTCCACACAACAATAATCTTTTGTAGACTTGGTGCTTTACTGATCATATTAATTAGTTTGAACAAGCTGTCAATTCGATTATAGGACAATATTATGGCAGTGAATCCTGAAGAATCTGACATATATGGTAAAAATAATGGATTTCTAGCAGATTCCTAGCAAAAAAAAATTAAACATTAAAATTTATAACAACTTACTATTGATTTTTTTTAACAAACATGATATGGTCTTAAATTCCAGTCCTCATAAAAATCTGAGCTATGTGGGTGCAGTCTTTGGCTTAGTATCTTTAGAGTAGTCATTGTAATTATTTTTGGTGATGATAAATATTTACGGTAAAGCCAACGTCCTTGATCAGACATTTCTTTCCGTCGGTCTAAAGGAATACCAGAAACCGTATCTAATAAAGTATTCAATTCAGTTTCACTCCACAGTATTACAGCTCTATAAAATATAAATAATTAGATAAAATTTTAGTAGAACATAATGAAAAAAAATAAAAACAAACCGTTTCCAATCTATAACTTCAAAAAATGGTAATACGACATGATTTATAGCTACTATTGGTATACATCCTGCAGCTAATGATTCAATTAAAGCTACATCCATTAATCGAGGGCCAGGTAATATCAAACAAAATACACTATCCTAAATTAAAAAAAATAAATAATAATTAAATGTTATTAAATAAATCAAAAAAATAATTATTTAAATATTTTATTAATATCTCATATGTAATTATACTATGAACTTTCCTATATTAAATAAATACTCACAGAAAAAATGTCTGCATAGTTATAAGTAATATTACCATGACAGATTATTGATTTATTATGTTCACCATTTGAGCATCGTTCCATTACTCTAATCATTGATCTTTGCTTTTCTATTGATTTTAAGTACATAAAGAAATCATTATGAAGATTAGTTTGAACTGTAGTAATAAATATTGGCCTGAAAATTAAAAAAAATCCCTTATTAATTTGCTTCCTTATAAATAAATTTAGATGTTACATACCTAAGCTTGAAAGTAAAATTATTACTTAATAAAATGGCTAAATCACTATAAATTGCTATTGAAATATCAAAAGATGATCTATATGTCCAAGAATTAAAACCAACGCCAGCAACCATTGCTTTACCAATAGATAAATCAACAACCGTTTTATAATCAGGTGCTGTTCCAGGGACCATATTAAATATTAAGTGATTTTGACCATCATTCCAACTATATAATAATAATAATAATATAAAAACAATTAAAAATCAAATAATTATATTATAGTTTATTTAACTTACTATGGTAATAATGCAAGAGCTTGTGAAGTTTCTTTCACACGAAACCGGTTTTGGTTTAAAGTATCAATAGAAGACACAAATACACAAGCTTCTTCAGGATTTGCTGTATAATAATGACTCTCAACTATTGTACTTATTATAGTATGGTATTCTTTAGAAATTTTCCCACCAATAGGTATGCCATCTGTATCTAAATATCTGGCCATTGGATAAACATATACTTTAAAACCACCTTTAAATTTATGACCACATCTGTATATGTTGAAACAGTTATAGAATGTACAGTGTGTGTCCATTGAAATGATAGGACTGTCTCCAGGGATAACATATTGATGGACTTCTTGAGTTTTTGATGGTGGTTTCTGGATAAGCTTAAAGACATGCGGAGCAACAACTACGTACACAAAGGATAGCAGTAATGAAATAAAGATAGAAATATAGATCAACTTTCGGTTCCTCAATAGCCGACAGCATGCTAAGCGAATGAACATTGTTTAATCAATGAAAATGGTGAGGCAGAAGCCTCATGGAATAATACAAGCGTTGATTTGACAATGGCATCTTTTTAATTTCAATAGTGTTGACTCTTAAATGGTTAGCTTAACCATACTTCAGTTGGATTAAATACTTTGTACAACAATGAATTAAAATACATCACTTAGTGGGAATAAATACACGTTATGTTTTATATTTTTGGTGTACAATAACTATATAGTATCAACTGAGAAGAATGTGATTAAATGTAAACATCGTGCGATTTTAAAAAATTAACTCACGTATCCATGAAAATTTAAATGATTATTTTAAATAAAAATGTCTATAAGGTATTATTATAAATAGTAAATTTTATATTGTCTACATTAACGTTAAAAAAAATGTACATTTATTATTTTTACTGCATTTCAAATATCCGAACTCCTTATCGGTTATCAATCCACGCTTAACAAAGTTATTGTGATTGTGCGATGAATAACATTTTCATGCACTGCACATCCACCAGTGCATGTCGACTTCTATTAATTTTATCAAAAATATAATTAATTAATTTTAATTATAAAATATATTATAAAATATTATTTATTTGTGTTAGTTGTAAAAATTATTTTATTATAAGTTATGATTATGAAATTTGAACTAATAAATAGTAATTACTTTTTTTTTTAATTTTAATTTTCATCGAATCTAAAACTCGATAGTACACTAAATTAACAAATATTATATTTTAATTAACTACGTGTATACGAACGCCGGCTATGTATATCTATTTTGGTATAGATTTTTAAAAAAAATTTTAAAAAAATCTAAATATTGCGAAGTCTTATAAAAAAAGAAACTAAATACTGCAAGTATTAATTATACGCATAAAAAATATAATACCCACCATAAATACATTTTTGTTTTGATTTTAAGAAATTAAGAAAAAGCTAAACGCGCTGTAAGATAATATCAAACCAAGTTACATAATAACAAAAATCTACATAGAACATTATTATTAATTAATTAATAATTTCATTGATTTCACTAAAATTCTAAAATAAACAAATTGTTTTCCCACAAACGGTAGGTAGAAGCTAGTAATTATATTTATTTCATAATAGACAATATTATTCTTCCAACCTGCTACCTTAATTTGAAATAAAACATTTTTAGTACATTTGTAAAATCTGTATACATGTTGCATGATAGAATTAGAATTGTTGAAGAAGAGAATACCTACTTTATAGTATTACTATATCGATTAAAGCCGCCGAAAAAATGTCTGCAAGTCCGTTTTGATTTTTGTAAGGTTTAAGCTGCTTTAACCTGTAACTTATAATTTAACATTCAGTAGGTTACGAAAGGGTTTTGAAATTTAATTCCAAATATCAAAAAAATTAGTGCATTTATTGAATTAAAAACAAAATATTTTAAGTAATAGGTAAGGTATAATTTATTATAAAACTTATTAGGTACTTAAAGGTAAATATTGGAGTTAAAATATTTTAAATCTATGCTTGACAGTATAATATAGTAATGGCTCCGCTAAATTTACCTAAGCCATATCCGTATACCACTTGGCATTTATACTCATAATGAGTAACTCATAGTATACATTTTGGATCTGAATATTATACCTACACATGCGACTAAAATTAATTTAAAAAAAAACAACTCTATGTTAAGCACATATATACATTATATATATATATATTATAAAAGCATACTCATGTAAGCTCATATAGACCATATTTATGAGAGCTATACATATATTAAAATAGTCTTGTCATTCCGTGGGACACTGAAAGTAGTAAGGTTAGGTATGCATAATACATCTGGTAGGCATTATAAATAATAGGTTTTTATATTTTACGTCATATGAAATACATGTATACCTACCTGTTGTATGTACAACTAGTTACTATCCTGCATGGTAACAGAGAAACGGCTAGTGACGTATATACTTCTACACAGGATACATTCTAAATGTTTCCAGATGGCACGAGTGATCATTATTTTTATTATTAAGTCTAACTATATTAACTATGTCATTATAGTCTGGTAATTTTTCACATATTTACATTTACTCGAACTCTTAAATATGTAAAACATTGTTTGGAAAATATTAATATATAAAATGAATAAGTAATACGTAGTAATAAGTACAAACTATCAAGTGTAAGGAAATTTATTTTGTTCTTAAATGATACTAGATTTGAAGAGAATTCTATTTCAGTTTTTTATCATTAATTTATGTTTATTATTTATATTTAACAATATTAAGTATATTTGTATAAAATCCGCCGCGTTTGCTTTGGAATTGCATTTTTGTCAACGAGAGTTTCCCACAATGCATGAATAATTCAACAATCAAAATTAAACATATATTTTAGGACATTATGGCCCAGGGCTTGGGATGATAGTTCATAATAGGAGCTGAAGCATGAGTGATATCCTAGCCACTCCTTATAACCTATAAAGAACGTTTTAAGGATTTGACAATAAAAAAAAATGTTTATAAATTGTTCAAAAATGGTAACCAAAGCTCTTCGTAGATTTTTTGGAAAATTGTTTTTGAAATACAAGTATATAAATATTACATAAGAAATCTATTAAATAATAAATTAATAATTTATAACTAACTTACAAAATACATTTAACATAATATAATATGTTTAAAAAGTAATAAGTCACTTCCTTAGGATTTTCGTATCCTCATATAATTATTTTATACTTACTCTTTCAATTATTAATATTTTGTAGTGATCGGATTTTGAAGGTTTTCGTTTTTAGTCCATTGACATAGGCGTGTCTGAAAATGTCTTGCAAGTATGACCAGTAACATTTTTCATTGGGAAAATTTAAATTTTCATTTAGGATACGAAGACAAATAGTGACCTATAGTGACTTATACACAATACACTAGCTCGAGAATGGACGTAGTAATTGTAGCTACTACAAAAACTATAGCTAATAAATAATATACTCACTCTATTCAAAAAAATAAATGGTATATGATATAAAATACAACTAGAACTACACTGGCAAGGGCGCCCATATGGGGGGGGGGCAAGGGAGGGACATGTCCCCCCCCTGGAAAATGTCAAAAATCTTGAAAAATTGTTAACTATGATCAGAATCTATTTATATAAATATAATTTAAAAATTTAATTTAATATAGTATGAATGTTTGTAATCTGTTGATGAAAAATCGGTTTATTTAGTTTGGCAAATCAGGTTATCAGCTATAAATAACAACAGGCTTTTTCCTTTCTATTCTATGGATAGTTATCAATTCTTAAAATATTGTGTATTGCCACAAATACGGTATATATATATTGGTTTTATGTAATTTTATGGTTAATTGGATAAATAATAATTATTTTCTAATCTTCCACTTTGATATATAAAATGTAAAATTGTAAACCCCTTCCTACCTCGTGGTCATTCCTTTTTATAAATAGATTGAAAAATTAAAATGTTGTCCCCCCTTGAGAATTGTATATGGGCGCCCTTGTACACTGGTACTTATAGCTATGGATATTAGATAATAAATATTATTGGTTAGTTTTTGTCACAGACATATTATACATATATAATATTTTATGTGAAAATATTTATTATTTAGTTCTGTTTTATTTAATCATTCTTTTAACTTTTTAGTAATTATTTTTAACGATTTAAGCATAAATTTAAAACGGAGCTAGATTTTACAAGTCTGGCCATTGCCAGAGTGGCCATAGCCGTAAACACGCCCTATGTTCATTGGGACTTCAGTAATTTAAAATATTCTTAACTTTAAAATTAGGTGAGATTCATACATTTACAGAAGGGTTTAGTTTATATAGGTCATTGTATGTGGTTTGAGTCAAACGCAACGTTACAAAGAAAAATAATGATTTCTGTGGTATACAATCTATGTGTAACCAAAACAAATCGTATGAAGTGTGGAAAGTAGTGCAAACATTATTATAATAACCTTACTGTTTCTTGCATGACGATAATTAAAGGTATGTCAAGTTTAATTTCACTTTAAAGTTGAATCAGCTTTCGCTTATTTTTTAATCAACATGCCCTGATAATCAAAATTTTCAATAACTAATTGTCAATTTACAAATATTTAAGATAATAATTGCTGTACAATCTATGAGAAACAATTAAAAATGGACAGATCGCTTATAATTTCAGGAATCACGTAAATTTTTTTCAAATTATTCAATAATTTAAACACATTACTAGAACCAGAATATCAACATTATACATTATAATAAAATAAAATTTTGTTTTAAGTGTACAAAAGAAATATTTTTACTTATAATTATTATTATTAATTTTTTCATAGTTATTTTATATCAATATAATATTTGACTATTGTGTACTTTTTGAACAAAGAAAAAAGGTGATCATCGCTGATAATTCACTTGATCTATTTATATTTTTATGGAAGTACATGAGCATTATGAATATAACAATCTCTGGTCTAATAATATCTTTGTATAGAACATTTGTGCTGGTTTTTGTATAGTTCGTTAGCCGAATAGTACGATCACTTAGAGGTGAACATTTCGATTCAATTCATTTGATTCGGTTCTTTCCAATGATTTGATTCAATTATTCAACTCCTTAATCAATAAGTTCTTAACATTTACCTACATCAGCGGTTCTCATCCTTTTTATATTCGCGTTTCACCTTCACAATTTGAAATATTCATGTACCACCTAACTTAATTATCTTTTTTTTGCTTATAGAAATAAATACGTTATTTCACATGTATATAATTTTATTTTACTTGGAACTAAAAAATATTATGACAGTATACATATAAGTATTTAATGCACAAAAATGAAGTTAAATATGACATATTATCTGGAACATTGTTATTTAAAGTATTTTATTAAGGCATTATATTTTAAGGTGTTATTTTGAGTAAACGATGATCAATATCAAGCTCTATGTTGGTAACTTTTAATTTAAAATCACTTTCTACGTTAAATTTATTTCTATTTTTATTTTTTGAGTACAATAAGTGGGAGAATGTATTTTCATACAGATATTTTGACACAAAAAGTATTAGAAAAGCTTGTGTAAAGCTTGTGATGATAACGCTGAGTATTTATGTTTTATGTCCAGCCAAAAATTTGATATATTTTTGGTTTTGAAAGTAGATTTTAGAGCAGAGTCGCTGGTTAGGTCAATTAATAATTTTTTTATACCAAAATAACTTTTGGAATGTAATCAGTGCTTGATATGGCAAAATTAAAGAAGGGGACTCTGTTAACTTAAAAAAAAAGTCCCCAAAACTTGTTAATCGTTATAATTATAACGTAATAATAATAGAGGGACGCTAAA